CAAGATTATAGCAAATCATCTAAGTCAAGCAAGATTCAAAATGGTAGTTGTGAACAATACTAACAAGTCTAAAGAGTGAACTAAGAAAAGCAGGAAATTCAAATAGATAAAGCAAAGATCTAAGATGGGGGTTATTGATTAAGAGGGGATTGGAACCTAACTAGTGATGCTTCAAAACCATTCAAACAATGCTATCTTCTAGGCATAGGATTAACAACTATAACTAGCTCAATTTTCTTGACACTAATCGCTTTGCTAAGCACACATTCAAGATAATCCCTTTACACAAACACATGACCAGCAAGTATTCAGAACAGAACTCCAATCCTATAAAGCCAAAATGCACCTTAGACATCTAATTCCTTAGGCTAAGCATACAAATCCTTTATGAGACTCTAAGCAGCATTTCATCAAACACTTACAAGGCGCAAGATACTAAACAAGCCTGGCCAAGACTAATCTAGTGTTAAGCACATCTAATAGAGAGAAGACAATCATATTAAGCACAAGACATTACTAATCTAGCCCTAAAACACCTCTAATATATCCTATCTGAAACCCTAGATAAGACTACTCACTAGCCATAGTTAAAACCACAAATTCTAAAGAGAAAAGATGTTTAAGCATGATTAGGAAGCAGATTAAAGAAGAATAGATCAATGGCAAATACAGAAATTTACTAAATCAAGCAAGATCTTACAAAGCAAAGCTGAAAAGGGAAAGGTTTTAAGTGCAAGAGCAGAAAGAAAATAACAAGATCCAACTTGCCTAACCATTTTAGGACTTTAGTATTTATAGGGAAACAAGAAAACCCCAAGTAAACGAAGATTAAACCAAAAGTAAGCTGACTCGGATGGACCATATCGATATGGAACATCGATACACAAGTCTATATCTTCTCTTCTTCTGGGCTGTACCAATGTTGTGGTGGTTGATATGCCCATCGATATGTATCGATCACATGGTGTCGATATCATCATCGATATTGGTTCATTCGCCTTTGTCTCTTGCTTTGCTCCATTCCCAGCTCACACCCATTGCTCCACATGACCTCCACTCTCCTTCAAGTACATAAATAAAACTCCAAATGCATGCAAAATGCAATGCAGTTTTTAAAACTACACTAACTTCTAAATGTATGCAAATGGGACAAGAAGAAGCAAAATATGCATGTTTAGAGACTAAAACTAGTGACAAATGCAAGCTAAAATGGTATAAATAATGGAGATATCATTGGTCCTACCATTGTGGGTTTTAGAGTGGTCAAACTGCCATGGCCTTCCCAGCAGAAGGTGTCATGCTTGCATAGGTACTACATCACAAGTGACCTCATCTTGATACTTCCTTACACTGAATGCTATGATGACTCGCTCAGAGATTCTTATCTCGGTTTGATCATTCAGCCATCTTAGTTTATAGGGTCTCAGGTGCTTTGTCTTGGCTAACCCTAATATGTCCACCATGTACTTGGAAGCTACATTAGTACAAGAACCGCCATCAATGATAAGATTACATACCTAATTTTGGATGGTGCATCTTGTATGGAAAATGTTCTCCCTTTGTACTTGCTCTTCTGCCATAACGAGTGCGCTCAAGACTCGCCTTGTAATGAGCATTTCACCTTGATCAGGATAACCTATCTCCTCTCCTAGCTCGTTAAGATCTTTCTCTTCTTCTTCGTCTTGGGATTCATTGTCCCCAATTAGTGTCATGATCATTGCCTGTTAGTTGGGATAATCCCTTGACATATGTCCTCGCCCCTGACATTTAAAACAAATAATCTCACGAGTTCTAGGGGTATTGGGGAACTAACTTGGCTCTGGTTGCGATGTTTTAGGGACCTTCGGGGGCTTGCTTTTGAACTGGGAATCAATTTCAACGGCTTTTCCCCTGTCTTAGGGTTTTTAGCTGCTTGCATTCCTCGGCTGAGGTGCTCTTGTACGGTTGGTGAGGTACACCTTTCATTTGATATGCTGCTCTATTAGCACAGCTAAGTGCAAAAGTTCATGCATTCCACTATATTAATTTCTCTCCACCTTCCGGGCTATGCGCTCATGTAAGCCATCAATGAATTACGCCATCAATGCCTCCTTGGACTCCTCTAGCTCCAGCAGGTTCATAAGCTTCTCGAACTCTTCATAGTACTCATCTACCATCTTGGTTCCCTGTGACAACTTTCTAAAACGTTTCTGTAAGTCACGGTGATAAGAGTCAGGGACATACCTTGATCGTAACAAAAATTTCATATCTCACCAAGTGGTGACAAGAGAAAAGCAGTTTCTCCCTCGCTCGGATACGTTTCTATCCCATCATGCAATGGCATCGTCAATGAGTTAAGCAGCTGCTAATGCCACCTTCTTACAGTCTCCATAACCAGAACATTCAAAAATGTATTCTAGCCTCCTCTCCCAATCTAAGTAGGCATCAAGATTAGACTTGCCAGCAAAGATTGGAGGGGTCAGTTTGATCTTCTTATTACCATCTCTCAGGGCTCCTCTCAGCCTTGTTGTCTCCTTATCGGGTCTTGGGGCTGTTGGTGTTGTTGATGCAACGGGTCGGGAGGAATGTCATCCTATAGCTCGGCATATCTACCTCCAGCTCTCTCAAGTTCCTAACGAGGGCTCTCGGAGCAGGGGCTGGTGGAGCTGGTGGTATGGATGGCAGAGGTGGTGGAGGCGGCTGCTCTAGCCTTACAAACCTTGCACCAAACTCATCTCCCATGGCTCTCATCTCATCTCGTAAAGCGGTCAACATCTGCATCATCGTATCTTGGGGACTTCTTCTCTCATGGTGTTCATGTATCTCACAAAAACAACAAAAGATCAAAGTACCAAAATAAAGCTAAAATAGATTAAGCTACCAAAATTTAGGAACAACTTTTTTTGGGTTTTTTTTTTTGGTTTTATCAAAAGCGGAAGGCAATGAATAATCAGATAACAATGAGAAAACAAAATTTCTTTTGGGGTATTCTTAATGATGTAAAGGACGCAAGACAAACGGATACTAAACAACTTGATTCAACAAATAAAGCTAATGGAAGCCACTTGACTAAAACATATTGAACAGATATGAAGTAATAAGCAAAATTTCTTTTTGGTTTTTGTTTATGAGTCAAAAATAAAAGTATGGCAAGCAGAAGCAAACAACTATTTTCATGTGTTTTTCTTTAAAGGTACTATGATATAATAAAACGGAATAAATATCACCTGCTATAGGAACCTTTCGGCTCTGATACCAAATGGTATAAGACTCGGAATGATCGGATCTTCACGGGTGGGAACAAACGTGCTGGCTTTAGACTCTCTCACATTAGATCTTTAGATGATAAGCGATGCATGGATTGATGGCACCACAGAAAGGATGGAAGGATGTCTGATACAGCAAGCACTCGGGTCTTATGTGAATCTCAGACACAAGCAAGAGCAAAGGTTTTTTAGCAAGCGGCGCTTGAAAAAAAAGAAGAACTGCCTCGTTTATTGATTAGGTAAAAAGTTGTATTGGACTACAAAACCGAAAGGAGTTTTATAAACAGTTCGGCGGCATGACCTTCTAGGGTGTAAGCAAATAAACTAGAAAAGGAAACTAACATTCGGTCCTAAGCAAAGCAAAATATAAAAGAATAACAAATGTTTTTATAACATAAAAATTAGGAAAATAACTTAGCAAAGTAAAATAACTAAAGCAACGACGTCTTGGCTCTTTAGTCTTGATTTTGGGACGTGCTAACTTAACCCAAGTCGGTTGAGTTTGAGTGTGTACAAGCATGCATAATAGATATGGGAAATACCTTGGTTTCTAGCGTGAATGGGCCATTATGATGATGATGAGTAGAGTTGGCTCTAGCAGTTTCTATGGTGTTGATCCTACCGCTTTGAACATCTTGACGTGTCATTGAAGTGAAGCCCAAAGGATCGTCTTCGGTCTTCTTGTCTTTGGCTTCTAAATCTCCTTCGTACTCTAGATGTCCCTGGTCTGGTACTAGTCTTGCCTCTCCGGTATTGTTTTGGTCGGGTGGGAACGTCTTGGCTATCTTGGTTTCTTGGAGATTTTGACTTGCCACGGGAGATATCATACCTTGTCTTGACCCAAGTATGGGCTTAATGTCGTCTGGCATTGGTGGTTCCACTAGCCATTCTACTCCGGGTAGGAATGGTTGGTCGAGTGCGGGCAGTCTTACCGACTGGTACTTGGTGTGCAGACTGATTGCTTTCATGAGCTCTTCTACGGCTAGGTTAAACTTTTGATGTAGGGCTTTCTCTTTTGATCGAGTCATGGGACCTTCTAGTACTTCAGCTTCAGGGGGCGTAGCTTCTGAGATTACACCATTAGGGTTAGGGATTCAATCTATACAGTTGATTCCAGAGTAGATCTTCAGATCCGGATAAAATGCTCAGGCCTAATTCCATCCATGAATCAGCATCCATATGGTTCAAATAATAATCTTGAGGCATGCATATTCATATAGTATCATTGTTTCAACCTACTAAATCGAAGCTAGATATATCTAATAAGTTTCTCTATATTTTGTTTAACCTACCCTCGTATTTAAATAGTGTCAGTCAATGTTTTTTCAAAGAACTACAAATATTTACTTAAACATAGGTTGAAAAATAGCTCTGCATTAAGAAATGAAACAGTTTGTGTCTTATGGATAAAATTTTGGTTTGGATGTTTCTTTTTGCAAATAGGAATCAAGGCTTTAGATGATTCTTTTAAAAATTGCCGCCATAAATAATATTATACACAAATCGACTAACGATTAAAGTTGAAGGATCACTTCATAGTTACTCGACTTATTATGAACGATAGATTGATTTTTCAATGTTACGTACGGAGGCTTCGAAAATTACGTGGAAACCAAACAACTCGTTTTCAAATACCGTAGAGAAATCAATGGCGACGCACGCCGGTTGCTTCATACTTTGATTCTTAAACCACGATGAAGCATTCTTCTCTTTATCCAAAACCTTAAAATACTTATATATATACACACGTGCACACTTATATAACCATCAATATCTTTCATCCGAAAATACATTCCTAAAATTTTAAATCGTTCCAATAGCACACGCACAAAAAAAAACACATTTCTCATTCGTTGGAACACAAATGGCATCATCTTTAAGCTTTTTCCACGTCTTTAATATCATTATAGCAATCATTATGTCACACTTTGGTCAGCTTGACGCAAGAACAAGTCTTAACGTTTTGAATTTCGGGGCAAGGCCAAATGGCGTCATAGACTCCACAAAAGCCTTTTCGGATGCATGGGACACCGCATGTAGCTTGGAAGACTCAGTCATGATTTACGTGCCAAAAGGAAGGTATTTGGTTAGTCGAGAGGTTCGGTTCGAAGGAGAAAGTTGCAGAAGCCGTGACCTAACCCTAAGGATTGATGGGACTTTAATTGGTCCACAAGACTATAGGTTGCTTGGGAAAGAAGAAAACTGGTTTAGTTTTATTGGTGTTCACAATGTTACTGTCATTGGAGGTTCTTTTGATGCTAAGGGATCTACCTTGTGGAGTTGCAAAGCGAACGGTCAAAACTGCCCTGAAGGTGCAACGGTATGTGTTAACTTTTTTTTTTTGGTATGGGTTAACTTTTTTTTTTTGGTATGGGTTAACTTGAATTTATAATATTTAGTTCGGGCGATTGATTATGTGAAGGCTGTCGTTTTCTTAAACTATACCAACTTAAGCATTTTGCGCATACATTATCGAGTTTAACTAACAAGAACAAAAGAATTTCACATGTGAAATATATAAATATTACTCTCTCTGTTTTTTTCTGTTTTTTTATATATGATGTTTTACAGATTATTTTTTGTTCAAAAATATTTGATGTTCTCACATATCTATACAGAAATTACTTGCATTTTTATTGTTTTAAGTGTTTGAATTTTGTATATTATTTTTTTATTGGTTCAATTGTTTTGGAATTGATGATAACATGTTTTGTTTTGAAAAAATACAAAATTAAATGATTTTTTAATCTATTTGTGAAAACCTTGAACATCATATATAAAAAAATGGAAGGAGTGTCGTTTGTCGATCAGTTTTTTTTATATAATTAATTAAGTATTTTTGCAAAGTGTAAACACAAAGTGGAACGCAAGATAGATTTAATTTTCTTTTGTTTGTATTTGAAGTTTTCGTTTACCATGAAAGTTCTTTCCTCCACTATTAAATGAGACTCTTAAGAAAATATGATATATTATACATACTTAACAAAATAGTCTATCTTTCTAAAATTAAAAAAAAAAATAGTTTTAAACTAAATCATTAACCCTAGAAATTAACCCCCTCAAAGCAAATGCTCAAAAAAAAAAAAAAACTAACCCCTTCAAAATTAAACCCTAACCCAAAAAATTATCTGAAACTCTAAAACTAATTAAACTCAAAATCAGAAAATTATGTGTTTTTCAATTTTTCATAATTAACCTTTTTAAGTTTTTTTCTTTCTTTTTTCCTCTTAAATGTCCCATTAAATATAGTGTTTTCATTTGGGAAGAACATGGTGTTCCTAAAACTACTCCCAATAATTTTTCTAGTTATTTTGTTATAAAGAAACATTTGTACTAATTAATGATAGTAAACTGTAGATTTCGAAAAGTATTTATTGAAAAATATTTCTTAAATTACTATTGATTTAGAGTCATATAAAATTGTTTAATCTAAAAGAGTCATACATGTATGTGTGAAACTCTAAAACAATTATCTTAACAAATAGAAGAAGTAAACTCTACAAATTAAATTTAAAATTCAAAGCCTAACCCAGAAGTTTCTATTATCTTCTATAAAAACTAAACTGAAAGTCTGAAAATAATGTATTTATTCGATTTTTAATAAATCTGCAATTAATATTTTTTTTTGCTTTTTTCTTGCTCTTGATCATCCCATTACATACCATGTTTTCATATGCAAATTAACACTCTATTATAATATTAACTTGGTTATACTAATTGCAGACACTTAGATTCATGGACTCGTACAACGTAAGGATAAAAGGAGTATTGTCATTGAACAGCCAACTGTTCCATATAGCAATAAACCGTTGCAGAAACATAAAGATTGAAGATATCCGAATCATAGCACCAGATGAGAGTCCTAACACTGATGGCATTCACATTCAGCTATCGACTAACATCGAGGTCCGAAATGTTTCCATCAAAACTGGAGACGATTGTATCTCAATCGGACCCGGTACAAAGAACTTGATGGTAGATGGAGTCACTTGTGGTCCGGGACATGGAATCAGGTATATATTTATCAACTATCAAAAGAATACAAATGACGTAAATAATAAAAAAATTATGACTAGGTATGAATCTATTATGTCGCACATAATAGCCGAATTTGGAGTTCATTTGTAAAAATAGCTATGGTAGCAAAATATAAGATAAGTACAAATTTTATATTTTCCAATGCGTTTTAACAAAAAAAAAATGTATCATATTCGATAACACGCTACTTTATATGGTATTGCGTTATTTGATTGAAAAGCTTGTAACAACAGCTACTTATTTTCGATTATACCTCAGTTAAATTTGACCTTATCATATGATCATTATTGGTTTGGCCCATATTTACTCACGTTATTTTCACAGCTTTCAGCCTAATTGATGTTTAATTCAGTATTGGAAGCTTAGGGAAGGACCTAGAGGAGCAAGGCGTTGAAAACGTGACGGTGAAGAAGGCAGTGTTCGTACGGACGGACAATGGGCTAAGGATAAAGTCGTGGCCACGTCGTAGTAAAGGGTTTGTCGAGAGGGTTCGGTTCTTAGGGGCTCGTATGGTCAACGTCTCGTACCCTATCCTCATTGACCAGAACTATTGCCCTGGCAATTCTTTTTGTCCGTCTCAGGTCCTTTCTCCTTTACCCGTTTTTCTATTAGTTTAAAATCTAAATACCTAGATAATTCTTTAGAAAAAAATGAATATGATTCTTTAAAAAAAAAACAGTTAAAATTATGAATGATATAAAAGGTTTTTTTGGTGCATAACATCAAGCAGTACTATGCAGAATGAATGGCGTATAATTCACCACACTTACTAAAAAATGATATTATGTATAATATTATGTCGTCAGATAACATCATTTGATATTGCAAAAAATACAAAAAACCCCCATAAAATCCAAGTTATATATACCAAATGTTATTAGTTGATTTTGAAAATTAAAAACAAACTAAGGGGTTTAGTGCTATTAACTCATATACATACAAATCCAAATACAAATTCCCTTGTTTTAGTTTGATATTATAGTTTAAATATCATGAAACCTGTTTTCAGCTTAATTAATTAATTTAGTGATTTGATAACAATAGACTAACATAATACAAGACGAAAAGTAATGTAAAATTAGATTGTGGATGCATCTGTTTCAAGATTATAAAGATTGTAGTGTTTATATTTTTAACCGAGTCTGAAAATTTAAATGTTCAGGAATCGGGAATCAAAATAAACGATGTAATATACAGTGGAATCATAGGTACATCGGCCACAAAGATTGCTATAAAGATGGATTGCAGTGAGCGATTCCCATGCACGGGGATTCGAATGCAAGCGATTAATCTAACTTATTACGGCGGTGAAGCAAAGACTTCTTGCAACAATGTATCTGGTAAGCAACTTGGTTTTGTTTTACCGAATGGATGTCTCTGATCGAAATTTGTTCGTTCGCCAAGACTAAGACTTGTAAAATAAAACATGACGTTGGTTGTAAATAAACATTAAAATACATGATATTAATGTATATACTTTGTAACCATTGTAAATGATTCTTTGTATATAACATATGGTTAAAAGTGTAACTACTGATCTGTAATTAAACAAATAATTGAAAGAGTTATATGGCAACAAATAATTGGCCATATTTCAACTTAGGTGAAAAGCTGATAGAGTAACAATCTTGCAACGCTTCCTTTATTGAATCAATGAACAGATTACAAAGATAAACTTGTTGAATCAATTTACACTGTCATGGCAAATTCAAACAGACTCATCGATCTCATGGCGATTGAGCCTATAGGCCCTATACTCATAGCGTCTAAGAACACAACAACAATCAAAGCATCCCCGAAACTAAGAACAGACTTTGTTACTTATAAGTTATCCATCTTGAGTCTTCCCATTGCAAACTATTCACTCAATTCCAAGGCTTCGCTCTCTGTCAGCTCTCTCTTCACACTAATATATCCACGCCACCCTCCAAGTCAGCTTCTTGTCATCATCAATACTTCCTGAAGCTTATCAAAAGCTTCCAACGGTCAATTTCTTATGTAGATTATTCTTTTTTAAGATTCTGCAAGATAAACTTACATTGCAACAAATCTCATTACAAACACTTGAAAATCCATCGTAAATTATTTTGCAACAGATTTGTCTCACGCATATTCCGTGCAAAAACACTATGCTGAAAATCTGTTGCAAAATTGTAAAGGCTTTGCAATGGTATATTTGAAACGATAACAATGCAAACATTTGTGACTGTTGTAAAACTCAAATTCGGTCTATAGAAACAATCAGAGTTTGTGAGGTTTAAAGAGATCTTTATTAGAAATAAAACTGGAGCTCGAAGAATACACAATGGTCTTAGGCAGTTGGAATAAGAACGCCGACCTAAGATATAAATGATAGAAGACTCGAGAGCTAAATAATAAATAGCTATTTCGTCCAAAGTCTCGAGAGATGATTTTCAAATGTTAGGAGAAGTAGATGACTTCTATATTTATACCTCAGCTAGGTCGGTCTTCTGGAGATAACTTCTCATGTTTAAATAGGAAAACTCCCCTCTTAATAAGCCCGACCTCCCGTCTTTTCCGAAATTTTATTAGATAAATGAAAGATTTCCATTTTTCTCACTGATCTATATATTCTTTACGGTTTTGAAGTAGGGCCTATCTCAATTGATGTAGGGCTTTTAGAGGGGGTACGTGATCAGCGTCTAGTTTTATCCAATTTATAATAGTACTGCAAATGCACAGCAATAGAGTTGTAGCACAAAGGGCTATCGAATCACAAGGGAGTAAAATACTACACTTCAAATTTTAGATTCAAATTATGCTAAGTCAAACCAGATGAATGTAAATTGAAACAACTAAATTAAAACGAAGCACGCGGTTATTAGATGTTCTTGAGATTCAAAAGACTAATACGCTAGGCCAAGATAATTCACAGGTTTAATCTGAGAATACAGAATGTAAACTATCATGATATTATTAAAACCGTCAAGAACTCGAATGTAACACTGATTTAAAACAAATCAACTCTCGTTGCAGAAGTTATCTATGCCTAAATTCCATAATTTCAAATCTTTTTGCAAATTCTAATAATTCAAACAAGCATTAACGATCAGGTTCAATTGTTCACAAAATTCCTAAATCAAATGCTCTCACATCTATTAGACAACCTAGAATGCGATTTCTGGATGACTAATTCTAGAATCGAAATATGCGCAAATCAAGATGAAGAACCAATGGATTATTCTGGACAGTAAAATAAATCTACAAACTCATCATCACATTTAAATGATCCTAACCTAACTAACAAACTACTCAAACATGGTGAATTGAGAAAACATCATGAATAAAATAGATTGCATAAAATAAATAAGTAAAGAGATAAAAGGGGTTCAAATTCTTCTCTAAGAAGAAACATAGTCTCCAAATTGTCTCCCCAAAAGCTCTGGTACAAATCTCTCTCTTTTTCTTTCTATAAAATCAGATACAATCCGAAAAGTGGCTGAAAAACCTAAATACAGACCAAAACAAACTCGAGCACTTTTGCAATTAATGAAACTTCTGGGAAAAAACTGTAATTCTTCCTCCATCTTTTAATAAACTTGCGATTGCTCCTCAGAATTAGGTGACGAGCGTCACCCATTCAGTGGTGAAAATCGTCACCAAAGGCATCACACGTCTCATTGTTGCTCTAGTCGGGAAAAACTCCTGCTTTGCTCTAGAATGCTCCAGAAACTCCAATTATGCTCAAAACACATATTAACATGTCATGGTCAAAAACCATAGAAACCATGATATATCAACTCCCCAAGACTTAGCTTTTGCTTGCCCTCAACCAAACTTAAGACTAAGAACAGAGTCGAGGTTTGAAAACACGGGAACTCACCTTCTCATAGATCATTGTTTTGACTGTTCATCATGTAATCCACACATTGCATTTCTTAAACCAAATCAGACCATCATGTACTTCTCCTTAGACATTCACAGCATCCCAAATTCAACTTATAAATTCACAGCATTGTCCAATAACTATCCTTGCTAAACCTCATTAGCAGTCTAAATATTGAAACACCTTCTAGATTCATTTCCATACTATACCTTAATAATTTTGCACTGCAATCAATCAACCTTTGGTACTCTCTCTCTCCCCCAGACTTATTCTTTTCTTATGTTTCATTATATTATCCAGGTGTAGGTAAATTATGGTATCACAGGTGATATGCTCAAATTAACCCATAGAGCTACTCTCTCAAATTAAGAGATCATTGTAGTACTTAGGGATCGAATCCACAATGACTTAATACTATTACTCAACAGATTTTAGATTCAAATATAGCTAAGCAGTCAATAATAAACAAAACTAAATATTAGAATGAATGTAAGAGGATCAGGAGCGGATTGTGAGTTCTAAAAATCAATAGAGACAAGACGCTAGGGAATGGGAAATTCGCATGTTGACATAAATCGCAGACTACGGACTGAAAGGAATATTTATTAAAACCGTTCTAAAACTCAAAAACACTAATGTAAAACCAATCGACTTCCGTCGCAGAGATTAACTATGATCAGATTCTAGAATTCCAAATTCTTTTGCAAATTCTAACAACCTAAACAAGCATTATAGTTCAGGTTCGATATGTTCACAAAATCACTAATCTAAATTTCTTTGCAATTAGTTATTTTGCTCATCTAAGATAGTTCTGGTGATTAACAATGTTTCCACATCTATTAAACAACCTAAGATCTGATTTCTAGGTGATCAATCTTAAAACCAGTGTTAAAGCAATCCAGATGAAGAACCAATTGATTTATCCTTCCAGTTTTGTAGTTATAACAATTAATTATCAACCTTTGAATAACCCAAAACCTAACTAGCAGATTACTCAGACATAGCAAGTGAAACACAAATCATGACTGAATAAAATTGCATTAAGGAATAGAGTAAAAGATGAAGGGGTTCGAAATTCTTCTCTACAAAGTACGGATTTGTCTCCCCAAAAGCTCTCAATCTAATCTCTCTCTTAGTCTCAATGAAAAGAAGATAATATACCTCACAATGGCTCTGAAAACCTAAATACAAGTCTAAATATGATATGGGGCAAAAGTACAAATAGTGGGAAACTTCTGGGCCAAGTTGCAATTCTTCAAAAGAGTTTTTAGGACTCTTCTCGCGACCACGACCGGTCTCGGTCGACACCAAGTGGTGGGTGTTGATCGACACCCTGCTTCATACTGCTCTTCGACTTGGTCTTTTCAGCATCAGCTTCAACATAGCTCCAAAAGGCTCCAAAACCCACAGTTATGCTCCAATCGTACCTAGACCTGAAAAGACTATAGGACTCGAACAATACCAAAAATACTTTATAAACAAGACTTATATCATGGTCAAATAACAGCAAAAACCATGATATATCAACTCCCCAGACTTATCTTTTGCTTGCCCTCAAGCAAACATCAGACAAGGCCTAGAGTCGAGGTTTGAAAACACAGAAAAAGCCAGCCAGACATCAGGAAGACCACATTGATTAACACTTTCGAATCCACATACCACAGGGTCAACACAAGATCAAATTTCAGTCTAATCATCACAGGCTTTGCAAATCTTTCAAATCCAATTCAAGCTCCTTCAAGAAATCCGAAATCTCCACTGTTAAACTCCTTATTTCTATCTAAGTGATGTCTCATCAAGGTTTTATTATCTCAATCACTTATAAATTCTTTTCCCTTCCTAAAAACTAAACAAAGCAATCTCAACACAAATCTTCTATTTTCTCATCCCTTGATCTTTTCTTTATAATATATATATATATATATATATATATTTTAAGCTCTTTCTCACTTTTTTACAGTCTAAGATATGGTGCTACTCAGTACTTGTGTTCCTTGTAAGGAGACAGGTTCCTGAGTGTGTTCATTACTGTTGTTCCTTGTGAGGAGACAGGGTCACGAATGCACCATTCTTTTGACTCAAACTTTTAAAGCTCTATCAGGGAAGATCAAAGACAGGCTGTGTCTTAACATACTTATCAGTATTAGAAGAGAGAATCAAGATCAAAGAGAATCAAGCACCAAGATAAGAAGTTTTAAGTTCATTAAAGTGGAGCTAACAACAATTTTTCCAGATTCTCTAAGAACCTAAACCTTCATTGCTAGACTGATCTACTGATGAATTTCAACTTAGTAAGACTTGTAATTAACAATTGTGGCAATGGTTCTTATAAGCATCAATGTTTTGTGGTTGTTTCCAAGAAAAACTGACAATTTCAAAAATTTTGACTCAACTTTGAGACTCTATAAATCAAAAACAATGTACACAATGTCAGCAACGACCTCCCCGAGACTTAAACAACACTGTCCCTAGTGTTATTAAGCATGGAGTTGGTAAAAATAAGCAATGAAACGGTTTGTACAGAGATGAGAAAGTGGTACATGTGCCTGCGCGTGGTGTCGATCGACACCATATGTTTGGTGTCGATCGACACCCTGTCCGAAAACAGAATGGGATAACCCAAACATGTGTATTTGTTGCAAGTTAGATTGTTAGCTGAAGTTCTCCCAAGTCAAGACTGTTAGGAACACTCAAGCAAATAATTAAAAGCAACAACATAATCCATAATCTCATCAATTCAAACAAGTTTCAAAACATAATCAAAGCTGACAAACTGACTCAAAACAAAGACATAAAAACTGACTCAAGAGAAAATGAAAAAGAACAAAGGGAAAAGAAAAAGTAACCAGGATATATATTGGAACTAATCGTCATCCTCATCACGATCAGGCGAGTGGGGGCGAACACAACCGCAGTTAGACAACACTGAGATGGCGTTCCACAATGCCTAAACACTCTGCACCATGAAACACTGAAAAGTGGCCTGCTCCATCGGAATGTCTGGAATCGGTGGGAGCTCATGTCGACCAATCGGCTCAGGCAGCGTGTAGGTGCGTGGTGCTCTCCCTCGACGAGATGGACCTCCAGCAAGGCCTTCAACAGGTGCATCCTCAGCA